CATAGCAAAGATTCAAATTCACTACAGCATTTATTGGACGATCACATAATTTATGCATATTAGTGAATGGGCTGAACCCACAGATAAAAATTTGATGAAAAAAAGATTACGTGTCATTGAATTTATTCTGCCCAGCAACAAGACAATTACGTCACACTGTAACGCAAGAGCGCGGGAGGAATCGTGGCAAGCGTCTGCAAAACCTTTAAAAACAAGAGAACAAATGCCGATACGGTCTTTGTATGAATGTATTGGTTGTTAGCTAATCTGACATAGTCAGATCAGCTTGAATAGATCGCATGATCGTGCCGTGCCGGGTACCGTCCGGTCGTCCGGTCGTCCGGTCCGCGTTCGTGCCGTCACGTCAACAGTTGGGACACATAGTCTTAACGGCTCGGACGTACTGGGTCACGATATTTCAAGTCGTTGTGGGGGGGACGTCAAAACGAGTTGCGGATGTCGGAAGCTGGGGGTGCAAAGGCAAGGTCAAGAGGTGTAAAAAGAAGGGGGGGGGGGGGGGGGGGGGGGGTGGGGGGGGGGGGGGGCGGAACAGTTCACTCTTAACTTAAGAGATAGGGCAGGAAATGCAGAATTGCCGGCACAAATCTAAACGGACCTCGCTCGCCTAGGATCGTGATAGTCGTGCTATAGATCGATGGTCAGGAAAAGCAGTCACGTCGCCCGAAATTTGGGAGGTCACGAGGTCAAAGCGTCAGTGGAGCACGGGCAGATTTTGAGAAATTTTCTGAGGAACATTGGTCTGACCCGGAGGACTGAAAAACTTTTTGTTTCAGCGGTGACCTATGCATTTCTTGATGGTTTATTGATAAGGACCGATGAAATGTCCGCTGTCTGAAGGGACATGGCGACGAAGTAAGTGTCGGATAACCTTTGACCCATCAGAGGAGGCGGTTAAACTTGGATTTGTTGGACGTGGTCTGGCTTAGAAAAGAATTTGACTGCCTGGGTTCTGCCTTAGTAGAATTCTTACATGCCTGCGATGTATGAGCTACAATGGTCGACAGTGAAATTTCAAAGAGCTAAATTTGCGTTAAAAGAAGGGGTATGTTCCATTAAATCGTATAATTTTCTATGTCATTCTGTTGATGTCGTATGTTACATGTAACGGTATCCCTGCAGTGGATGCTGGGGCAGTTTTTTGCCTGCCGTTATTGGTTGCAGGTGGCAGCTCTCATTGCCAATTGACAGCCTGCTAGGCTTGACGAGGCTAAATGAATGAGGCTTACCTATTCTGTCTTGCAAATAGTTGTTGGCTTACTACGCAATGATGGGAGCTGGTCCATCTTGAATCTGAGGAACATTAAACAGTACGCCGCCATCTCGTGGAACGTTCATAACGCACCACTACTTCACGAATTTTCTATAGTGTATGTTTTAAAAATATTTGTCGGCATGTTTTTACATTTAAAAAAAGTAAGTACTATTGGGACTAAATGTATCGTCAAATTCTTACCTGATAAGATTGTTTCTCAACTAGTTAAAAATCCAAAAAACTGGACGATTTGATATTATGATCCTGACAATAATTGTTTTCTATGGGCTAGGTATGAGTCACGAGTGTATGTTTACATCGAACAATATAGTAAAATAGGAAATAGTAAGTAAATAGAATTACTTACAATTTGTGAAAAAGTAGAAATATTTTTTTAACTTTTACTATTTACGGTGACGTAATCACTTTAATCCGAACAATGATACAAACAATGAAAGCATCGAAATCACAGCGTAACTATGTTTACCATGCCACAATTTATGAGTTTGGTGTAGAGATTTTCATTTTAATTATGAGTAGAGATTTTAATTACTCAATAGTATACACTCGTGTTCTTTAAAACTTATTAATACAAACCTTGAATCTTTCATCTCTTGGGTCTAGCTTCATGCCAAATTCCTCCTGCACCTCGTCCATAAGCCTCTGTTTCTTCTCCGCAGCAAGTCGAACTGCTGTCTCTTTTTGCTGTTGCTGGTGCAGATAATCGTGCTTCCATCCTTCCATCTTTGCCAAGTTTTCTTTCACCATTGCTTCCCTGAAATAACATAAAATAAGGAAGTGTGACGTTAAATTGATTACTTCACGAATTTTCTACGGTAAAATTTGTAAACATTTTGCTGCCATTTTTTTACATTAAAAGTAAGAACTAACGGGACTAAACGTATCGTCAAATTCTTACCTGATAAGATTGTTTCTCAACTAGTTAAAAATCCAAAAAACATGGACGATTTGATATTAGTGTTCCTGACATTAATTGCTTGCTATGGGCTATGTATGCGTCATGGGTGTATGTTCACATAAAACAATATAGTAAAATAAGAAGTATAATGCAGCAATTATACCATAAAAAATGAACAGAATTACTTGTAAATTATTTTGTGATTTTTTATTTTTTTATTTCATTGTTGACGGTGACGTAATCACTTTAATAGATAGATGTACAAGGATGAGCATTGTAAAGTAGAAAACATATAAATTATATATTCATATAAAAATTCAAAGGGTATGTATGCACCTTACAACAACTCCCCATCAGCAGCACATGAGTAAAGGTTACAGTTAGATTTAGGCCCTCCTATTTGCTTCATTGATATATTTCAGTTTAAGTGACACATATGCTTGTCAAAAATCTGGGAACACCGTTACATAACAACTTTATTACCAATGTATTGCATAGATTTATTATTATAATTTGCAGGAATTTCTGACCATGGTTACCTAGTTTACTAGAAGTAAAGGGTAATGTGTTATATCTTGCACACTGCCTACCTAAGAAACTATGCCACCTCCATATTTCACCTATACCACATTTCCTGCAGAAATGGAAGTGTTTTTATCGTAGAGTAAAATAGTTGAGTAAAAACGTTTGAACTTAGTATTTTTACACTCTAACTTCACACCTATGCACAAATGGAAGATAGATTTTGGCAAACAATTGTTTTTGAGCTAACAGTGTAGATCAGGTCTCCTGAAGTCACATCTGGCAAGATGATGCAGAAAACTCTCTGCAATTTTTGCATAGGTATGAAGTTAGTGGATAAAAATGCTCAGTTAATCTTTTTTTACACCACTATTTTACTTAAACATTAAAGACCTGTCACTGACACTTCTGCAGGAAATTTAGTATGTTGGAGGTCAACAAGTGGTGTAGTTTATTAGATAGGTTAATTGCGTGCAGAATCTAAAAGACTAAAACATTACCGGAAGTTACTTGCAATAATAGTAGTATACCTTTTCATATAAAGAGCTTCTTCTTCTTCTTTTGCCTGTTTAATTGTATTAAGGCGTTCCTGAAGGGTCGGTTCCCATTCTTTTTCATGTTCAATCATCCCATCTAACTCTTTACTTGTAGGCCATCCAATAGCAGGATTTAGGCCAGAATCGCGCCCAAATGATGCGTATAATTTCCTGTAGTATTTCCTAGTCCTGCGTCCAGGAAGTACTTGCCATCGATAAAGAAAGGATGGCATTTTCTTGGCATGGTCCAGTCGTGAGCGTAATCGGTCGTTCAAACCAGAAATGTTTCGTTTTTCTTCGATCTCACTCAGTTCTTCCTCACTTTTAACCGTCTCCTGGACTTCATTTGTGCTGAAATGCCGCTGCGGGCTATCACTAACATTAATTTTCTTAAATGTGTAAAATCGGTCCACAGTGTTCACGTAATAGCTTCTAAACAAACTAAATTGTGAAAGTCTGCAAAACCTCAATGATTTCATGGGGGCAGCCATATTAACGTGACGTCACGGGCAGTGTCAACGTCATCGTCATCGTCAAGTTGGATCTCATGTAGATTCATATATTTCATTTTATAATATAAGGTATACTCTAGTACCATAATATCATAATATGTTAAAAAGATATTATGTAATATATTTATGTATTATTTATATATAATATAATAATTATAAAATATAATATAATAATGATTTATGAGACTGCAATGCACGGTTTGTATATTTTGTATACCTTAGCGTATTGCAGATAATTGTTAAAAAAATATATAGAATCAACAATAGTAACTCGAATCAATACTATAATAAGGGTATATACCAATTATGGTTTTATAATTTAAGGTAGGCTACAATGATATCATTTCTGCACTTATTAATAATAGTTGCGATATGCAAATTAATTAAAGCTTTTTGTCACAGTAAATCCAATAAACGAAATCCATAAATCTAATAACCAAAATAGATAAATCAAATATCAACATCAAACTCACACGATGCTTATTATTTCGTTTCATGTGAGTCTCTTTATGCGAGAAGAAAAATTATGAACCCATATAACCAAGTACAACACCTGTCGTCGGAAAAGCCTGTCATGAAATTTTGTGTCAACAATGAACCTAGAAATTGTTCGTCCGCGTATCGTATACGCCGCTGTGGCGGTCACGTGAGCAATGATGTCACGGCATCGATCTACTGCCGCAAGTTGCGCGCCAGCTCTACAATTACCCGTGCGGGTTTTACTATTCACAAACGCAGAAGCAGCGTTTCACTGGGAGCTCGCAGTGCGTATGTAGTGAGTGTGAGAGATAATTCAACAGGAGGCCACGGAAGGCTAAGTGTCAACGCGTGAATGATCAATATATTTAGTGACGAGAATTCTACACGTAAGCCTACACCGTGATAGCACGAGTAAGTCAAAATGACGCGAAAGGATGCGCCGACATTTACCGAACAATTATTCTTCCAACGACAGTTTGTAAGTACGATATAGATTAATCTATAATTGACATGATTATAACAAAGAACTTGAGCCTCTTCAGCATTTCTACTAATAAGTTATTCAATTGCATATTGATGAAAATTTGTATCATGAATTAGCCTGCCAAACAAAATATCATGTTTGCGAAGACAAACAGAGAATTAACCGTTTGCTATTAATTTCGGTTATAGCTGATGGTGGATTGCAAGATTTCGGGTAAAAAAAGTAACCCCTGAATTATATTGACGTCGTGAGATTACTATAAAGGCGGATTTTACCTACTATTTATTCTATAATTCTTTCATGAACGACCAATATCGCGGGGTTTATAAACATCCCTAATATTTACATCATCTCGCGTGTTTTTTCAACAATTTTCGTTACAGTCCCATCAATATCATTTCGCATTCTTCTCTCCCGCCCTTCTTCATTCACGGTCCTCCCTATTCTTTTATTGACCGCCGCTTAATTTTCGCTGTCTCTAATACCATTCCCACAATGTTCCGATGCCAGCTGCTTCACCAAGCCACCCCCGCAACGGGAGCTGCTTTGGTGAAAGGGCGCGTGCGTGTACTTAGTGCGCGTGATTAGCCTATAGAGCACGTTATATGTACTTAGATGGCATATTACTTCATCATACTCCCCCACACAGCGTGCGCCATTACGTAACGTTTGCTAATATATCGTGTGCGCATACATTTACGCAACAGACGCGCGTGCGCGCGTGCGCGAGTGTGCGTCTGTGCGTGTGTGATTTTGTGTCTGCGTGTGTGCGTGTGAACGTACGTGCGTGCGTGCGTGTACGCGCATTTATTATCCACAGGTAACCGAAGTATTTAGAGAAGTGCGTGCGTAATGGCACAATAGAAACACAAACACTAATAGCAACCAAAACCACTTTCTGCAGACAAGCGAGTTCTTCAGCATTATAAGTACTATTATACACACATCCTATAAATGCACGTGCTCGTGTCAGCTGGATAAGTATGCGTCGGCTCAATAGGGAGAGGATATTTCTGGCACGCACGCCGCGCACGCACGCACGCACGCACGCAACGCACGCACGCACGCACGCACGCACGCACGCAGCACGCAGCACACACACACACACACACACACATTATATATATATAGTATATATAAATAAATATATATATATTATATATATACAAGAGCGTAAATTTAAAAAAAATTAATAACAGTGTATTATTAGCTGTAAATATAAGGTCTATGCAGCACATCTGCGGCCGAGCATGAGGACAATCATGCTATTTTTAACTGCGTGAATAATTGCGCTCGTTCGTGATCGTTGGCGGCAAAACCAGCATTGGGTGTCGAATGCAAGAGTGTGGCGAACGAATCCGTGGGAGTAACACCGCAACTGTCGGTGCTACGTATGGATATTAATGCCCAGGCGCACATAGGTGATTCGCGGATTGGCCCCCGGCCCCCCAAACCTATCGTTTCGCATGGCATAATATAGGTTCTAGCGTGATCATGGGGACCTACTACTCATGTGCGCATACTATAATGCGCATGCGTTGTCGGGCGACGTGTGTTTATTGAAGGCATGCACTATACTGCGATTCAAACGAAGGTTAATTGTGCGTTTAGCACAGACTGCCACCATTAGTAGTCGTGAATCAATCTGTGACGTCATGCCAGGGACGTCAGGGATCACTGTAACTGCAACAGGGTCATGACGCATGCACGTCAATTTAATCAATATTCGCGTCTTCGCGCTATTTTGCTGTTTAGAAAAACAAGGTAAACTTTACATCGTTCAAAGTCCGCGAGGATTTGTGTCAACAACGAAGAGCGCGATATTTCAGTCGTCCGTGTCGAACACAACTGTGAGAAAAAACGACTACGGTATTTTGTTTTGAAAATGTGTATATGGTTTCGTAGTTGTTGTTGTTGTTTATAGTCTTTAGTTTTTAGTGGTTAGTTGTTGTTAATTTAATGATGAGAGATCGCGCTCCCCTTAAGAATTCATGCGAGTATATCAGCACTAATGATGAATGGTGATGGTGATTATTATTATGATGATGAAGATGATGATGATGATGATGATGATGATGATGATGATGACGATGATGATGATGCTGCTGCTGCTGCTGATGATGATGAGCGATATAACGAGAGATATGCGAGCCACCTGCTATAAAACTCATTACTGCAGATAAACAATTTCGGAATTGACCTTTGATGGGTTCGCCTGAATAATTAACTCTTACGATATTTCAAACATAAAATATTTAGATATAGCGGAATATATTCGAAGCCATCCCACACAAGCGTGTAGGTGTTGTATAACCGTAGAAGGCGTCCAAAGGCAGCAGGCCTGGATAAGCATCGAACAGAAATTAATTAAAAATACTCACACTGTTTCGTCGCATACACAACATACACTTTATTTATGTTAAATTACTACAGATTCATGCTCTATGGCATTTACGGGCAAAGCACTCGAATCTGATTGACTCGGCTGCAGTGTACTGCTGCTAGTGATGATGATAATGATGGTGACGGGGGCGGGGCGTGGAGCTAGCGGCGGTGGCGATTGTTGTTGTTGTTGTTGTTGTTGTTGTTGTTGTTGTTAATCCCCCTCCCCCCCTATCGTTCTCGTGTCTGTTCCTACTCTCTATCTCTCTCTCTCTGCTCTCTCGTTCGGTATCTCTCTCTTCTGCATCTCTCCATCTCTGCTCTCTCTCTCTCTCTTCTTGTGTGTGTGTGTCTCTCTCTCTCGCTCAGCTCTCTCTGTCATCTCGCGCGCGGAGTGGCGCTCTGCATCTCTTGCCTTTCTCTCACGCTCTTTTTCTTTTTCTCCTCCCTCACCGGGCTATTGCTCGCATCTCTCTTCTCTATGGCTGTGTATCTGTTTTCAATCAATTCGATCAAAATTTGCCATCGATGCGTGGAATGCGAATGAAATTCGATCATTCATTCGATGCGTGAATGCGAATCATTCGATGCGTGAATCGAATATTCGATGCATCATATGTCGATTTTCACGCATCGGAATCATATCGATTCCACAGCCATCGAATCAATTCGATTCACGCATCGAATCATTCGATCACGAGCATTCGAATCATTCGCATCACGATCGAATCATACGATTGCATCATTCGATGCGTGGAATCGAATGATTCGATGCGTGAATCGAATGATTCGATGCGTGAATCGAATGAATGCATCGAATCATCTCGATTCACGCATCGAATCATCGTTCACGCATCGAATCATTCGAATGCCAGTCATTCGAATGCCGTGAATCGAATGATTCGATCGTGAATATCGAATGATTCCGATGCGCGAATCGAATGATTCGATGCATATTCGATTTCACGCATCGATGCATTGGATCACGCATTCGAATTCATTCGGAGTTCACGCAATCGAATCATTCGATTCATGCATCGAATCATTCGATTCAACGCATCGAATCATTCGATGCAATCATTCGATGCGTGAATCGAATGATTCGATGCGCGAGATCGAATGATTCGATGCATCATTCGATTCGACGCCAATCGAATTCATTCGATTCACGCATCGAATCAATTACGATTCAACGCATCGAATCAAATTCGATTCATCAGCA